ACTATTATGTTCTTTTAATCACAATAAAAAAAGAAAACACTCTCTCAATTGTAGGAAATACTCATCGTCTATAATTCCTTAAAGTCTAAACTTTGACATCTTCATTTTTATTATTTTAGATCAACTAATGTTAATTTCAGTGATTCACTGCATTTATTCTCAAGCATAAGTGTACAGTTTCATACACAAAAACAAATTAGAAATTTCCTGCAATTGTCACCTTCCTTATGCATTTATAGTCCTTTTGTTCTCCCAGTCTACAAAAAAATATTTTATTCTTTAAAGAGAGATAAGAAATCCATTTGTCAGCCCACATGTGTTTCTTAAAATTAGTTTCCCTAATTAGGGATAGGCTGTGTCACTATATAGTATGCTGATTTTAAGTCCTTTGGGGATAAACCTAGGAGTGGGATGACAAGGTCAAATGGTAGTTCCATCCAAGTTTTCTGAGGAATCTCCATACTGCTTTCCAGAGTGGTTGCACCAATTTGCAGACCCACCAGCAATGTATGAGTGTGCATTTTCCCACACATTCTTACAACAATTATTGTTACTTGTATTCCTGATAATTGCCACTCTGACTGGAATGAGAAAGAATCTCAGTGTAATTTTCCTTTGCATTTCTCTAATTGCTAGTAATGAACATTTTTCGTATATTTGTTGACCATTTGTATTTCTTTTTCTGTGAAGTACCTATTTAGTTCCTCTGACCACTTATTGATTGGATTATTTGGGTTTTTGGTGTGTTAAGTGTTTTGAGTTCTCTATATATCCTGGAGATTATTACTTTATCTGAGGTGCATGTGGTATAAATTTTTTCCCATTCCATACGCTTTCCACATTATTGTTTCCTTTGCTGTGAAGAAGCTTTTTAGTTTGAATCCATCCCATTTATTGATTATTAATTTTACTTCTTGTGCATTATAAATATGGTTGAGGAAGTTGGTTCCTATGCCAACATGATGTACACTTGGGCCTACTTTTTCTTCTAGAAGGCACAGGGTTTCTGGTCTCATACCAAGGCCCTTCATCTACTTTGAGTTGAGTTTTGTGCACCGTGAAAGATAGGGGTTTAATTTCATTTTGTTACATATGTATTTCCAGTTTTCCCAGCACCATTTGTTGAAGAGGCTATCTTTTTTCCAATTATGTTTTTGATGCCTTTGTCTAGTATGAGATAACTATATTAATGTGGATTTGTCTCTGTGTCTTCTATTCTGTTAATTGGTCCTCTTGCCTGTTTTGGTGAATACCATGCCATTTTTGTTACTACATCTATGTAGGATAATCAAACATCTGGTATTGTGATGCTTCCTGCTTCACTTTTCTTACTAAGGATTGCTTTGGCTATTCTTGGCCTCTTATTTTTCCAAATGAATTTCATGACTGCTCTTTCTATTTCTGTGAAGAATGCCATTGGAACCTTAATAGGAATTGCATTAAATCTGTATAGCAGTTTTGGTAGTATGGCCATTTTGACAATATTAATTCTGCCTATCTAAGAAGATGGGAGATCATTTCCATCTTCTAATGTCTTCTTCAATTTATTTCTGTAGTTTTCATTAATAGAGGTCTTTCATCTCTTTTGTTAGATTGATTCCCAAGTATTATTTTTTTGAGGCTATTGTGAATGAGATAGTTTTCTTAATTTCTCTTTCAGTTGATTCATCACTGATGTATAGGAACACAATTGATTTATAGGTATTAATTTTATATCCTACTACTTTGCTGAATTTATTTATGAGTTCTAGAAGTTTTTTAGTTCTGTAGCTTCATTATTTAGTTTTTGTTTGGAGGATCTATCTAGTGGTGAGAGAGGTATTAAAGTCACCCAGTATTTTTGTGTTGTGGTCCTTTGGATTCTTGAAATTGAGAAGGGTTTATTTGATGTATGTTTATTTGATGTATGCTCCATTGTTTGGGGCATAAATATTTACAATTTTTATGTCTTATTGCTGTATAATTCCCTTAAGTAGTATAAAGTGCCCTTTTGATTAACTTTGGCTGGCTTGAAAAGCCAATATTAAGTCCTATGACTGCTGCCTTCAAAATACATCAAGTATACAGTCACTTTTCATTATAACTCCCACTATCACTATAGTACCAGCCACCATCATCTTTCTCCAGACAGTGGACTCTTGTTCCCTGTGACAGACTACTAGTTGTCTTCTGAGAATACATTCTTTCAAGAACCCCAAAAGCTTACATGGGGCAGAAATGTCCACAGCTAAAAAGGATATTCTGGCCACTTGCAAACAGGAGAGGACACATGACAAAATTATGGCCAACTAGATATTATTGGGAGCTGCTGGGAGAAGGCTCAGAGAGAATATCAGAGACAGACTAAGCTGACAAGAATACACTTCCTTCTTCCTGCTTGGAAAATACTGGGATGCCTAGAGTTAGGGAGTCTTTTGGCAAGTAACAAGAACATGCTGAGGATCACTGTCCAAAAAGGGAACCTGGGTCCCTTGATGACATCCTGAAACCACTGCATCACTGTTTACACCACTGTTTATAAGTTTTTGTTACTCAGAACTCAACATGGTTCTTAACTGATCTAACAATTTTCACACATACTGAATTTATTCTCCCACAGTAAAATGAAGCTATAAATCACTAATCCAAAAAAACTGAAAAATTCACAAATATGTGGCAATTAAATAATTCCTTTAAAATATTGTTATTATTTTAGTTGTAGATGGACACAATACCTTTATTTTATTTATTTAATCTTATGTGGTGCTGAGAATGGAACCCAGGGCCTCACACATGCTAGGCAAGTGTTCCATCACTGAGCTACAATCACAGCCCGACAATTAAATAATTCTTAAACAATCAGTGGGTTATGGGAGAAATTACAAACCCATTACAACAAAAGAAGCACAGGAAAAGAGAACAATGATGAAGGGCCCAAAGTGATCCTTCTGTTCTAAATGCAACTATTTCATTAAAAATTGAAAACTGCCCTATGATCTGACTTTCTTTGTATATACTGACTTTGAATTTTTACTTCACCTGATTTCTGATGTTTAAAGTTGTAGTTTTCCTGATTTTTTCCATTAAATCAATTCCATATTTTCTGAATTTTCTCAAACTTTCTGGATCCTGAAGTCTCACCTACTGATTTCCAGTATTACCATAGGTTCTTTTCTTTTGAAATAATGCTTTCGGTTAAGGTCCTGAAGCCTTGGAAAGTGGGAGAATGGACACACGTGTGCAGTCCACTATGCTGCAGCTCCTATGTGGGTTTGTTTTGCTTTTTCTGGCTTCCTAATATGAATGCCTATAGCATTTCCTCTCACTATAGTTTTACTGAAGCTTTGCATTTACAGAAGTATCAGATGACCATCCAATTAATAATAGAAAGTTAAACAGAGTAAAAGTAGGGGAGAAACTCTTCCCTCCTCCAGAGTTACTCCCTTGAGAAAATGATGTTAGTATTTCAAATCCATTTACACATTTTCCCATGTTTATGTTAGGGGGTAATTCTTGTTTTTTTTTTTTTTTAAATGAAATCTTATTTTTCTACTTCATTTTCATAGATGTTTCATTTATTTTCATTTTTTAGTAAATTCAATTAAAACAAATTTTTCAGTGTTAGAAGTTAAACTGTTTTTAAGAGAGATTTTTGGAAATTTAAACAAAAACATTATGAGCAAAATAACAGGTATAGAAGTACAAGATGTATTTCGGGAATTTAGAATTAATCACACTTGGCTGGAGGAGAGGGACTGTTGGGGAATGCTGAGGAGCTTGAAGAGGTGGAGTCTGTGTGAGAAGGCAACAAATAGCAGTATAAGTGGGAAACCACTGAAGATGTGAGTGTAAGGTCATGATGTTAACTGCTTACAGTAGAAATCTTAAAATAATCCAAAAGTATTTCTAATGAAAACATCACTCACTGAATGATTTTGTTGACCAGGTATGTAATAAATCTTCCACAGACTAAAGGAGATAATATATAGGATGGTGGTTTGAACTGTCAAGTGTTCTACAATGATGTCAAGTTTTCTTTGGCTACGTTGACAATGTAGAGGTACATTAGGATGCTTCTAAGGCCACCCAGACTCCCTCAATGCTGTTTTGATTGTGTGGTGGAAGAAGTACCTGGTGATGACTTAGGACTCACAATCTAGGCTACTAATCATCTGGGTATCTTGGGGAAAAGAACTTCAACTTTCTATTCTTGTGTAAAATAAGGATTAAGACTAGATTATCTCTAAAGTGGCTTTATCTCTATCAATGGTTCTATGATTCTAGAATAGTTCTTACATACCTTGCTTAAGCACCAATTATTTCTTTAGGCACTTTATAGTATTCATGTAATAATGCCAAGATGAGAATCATCAGGAAATGTTATGTCAGTATACTTTCCTTCCCTCCCTCCCTCCCTCCCTCCCTCTCTCCCTCCCTCCCTCCCTTCCTCCCTCCTTCCATTCATTCCTTCCTTCCTTTCTCACAGTTCTGGGAATTGAATCCAGGGCTTGAGCATGCTAGGCAAGCACTCTACCACTAAGCTACATCTCCAGTTTTAGAAGATTTTCACAACCTTTTAAAAATCACATGACATTTGTTCTGACAGTTCTATTTTATTTTTACTTTTCTTTCTGCTTAAAGTGGCTGTGCATTATTTTGATTTTACAAAATTATAATACTAAGGAAGCTAGTAGTACATATACATTTATTTGAAAAAGTTTGAAACAGCAGTTATAAGAAAAATACTTTTTTAGGTTCAAAAATTATTTTATATCTTTAATGACTATTGGAGGGCTGGGGATGTGGCTCAAGTGGTAGCACGCTCACCTGGCATGTGTGCGGCCCGGATTCGATTCTCAGCACCACATAGAAACAAAGATGTTGTGTCCGCCAAATACTAAAAAATAAATATTAAAAAATTTCTCTCTCTCTCAAAAAAATGACTATTGCAAGAATAAAATGACCTTAACAAATATCCTTTTATTACAAGTAGTTTAAATTAAAACTTCTTCTTTTATAAGGTGGCTTTTTCATCAAAAGAATACTTTCCATCACATTTCAGACCAGAATATATAGAATTGAAACCAAAATATCAGGTGAGTCCTGAGTTATCCTATCTCAATATCAAGTATAGTTAATTATTGGGCTTCTTCAATACTTAATTGATACATATATACTTATTCATACATGTATACAATATAGATGTAGAAGTACAAGGTCTATTTCAGGAATTTAGAATTAGACACACTTATATGTGATTTAAAGATTCCAAAACCATGCTACTCATTAGAAACACCTGTCTTTAAAAGTATTTAATCACAGGTCTCATCTGACTTAATGAATCTCCATCTGGAAATGGAAACTGGGAACCTGCATTTTTCAAGAAACTTCAGGGGATTCTTAGTGTGACCCACTAGCATTTCTTACTCTGTATCCACCAGCATTTGTAAACCATTATAATATTTACATCCATTAAAATAACCTTGAACTACTAAGTTAAAATAAAACAAATATTAGGCTGATTATTTCAGAATTTGCATTTTTTAATTGTATAATGTAGAAGTTGTATGAAAAGAATTTGAATGAAAAACTTCATTTTGAAGACTTTCAGTGATAGAATAGCTTGATCTCAAAACTACAAATTGCTTATTTTTTACACTGAAATTTCACTTTTAGCCCAAGTTTTTGTATGCTGTTCTCTTTTAACCATTTCTAAAGCAAATACATTATGCATCAAAAAGCAAGAATCCACTGTGACATATTGAGGATTCAGTTTCATCAGTTTTGAAACTCACTGACTTAAGGAGATGATATTTGTCCCCAAGAAAGTCTTTAAATGATGTTATGATACTTTTCATAGGATGTCTACTATTTGCTTGCATTCTTAAAAAATTTCCTACATTGCTGATAAACACTTATATGGCTAAGACTTAAATCCTGATATTAGCCACTGTTTTACTATCTAAGCAAACACAGCTAACACTGGAAATTCAGTCAGTAAGAAGCTTTTTGTGGGTGACTATTCCAGGTGCAAAAGCATTTAGACACAAGGTAGTGTCAAAATTAGGAATTTGATATTTTTGCTTTAAAAGCTTTTTTTTAATTCAAGTTTTAAAATAGTTTGTAGAAGGTAGGAGGATGAATAGATAAATTGACATTATTCAAAGAAAATTTACTAGAAATTTTATTATGAATTCAAAGTAAATGCTACAGAATTTCTTATTTATATTGCAATTTCAGAAATTCAACAAAGGCGGTTTTGATCCTTTTCTAAGGAACATAAACAAGATGTCGGTCAGGAAAAGGAAAGACCAAGATATATACCAGTTTAGAAATGTTTTAAGTCAGGAGGTTATAGAGCATGAAGACCAAGATCCTCCTTACCCAACACGTTCAAAACCTGGAGGATATAGCAGTGTATCCTGGGCCCATGATCCTGATACCATCCCAAAAAAGAATAAGTCAGCTTATGATCCTACTATCAATGCAATGAAAACTTTGGACCCTAAGAGTAAGCCAGCCCATGATCCTGCTATCAATACAATGAAGACTTTAGACCCTAATAATAAGTTAAAAGAAAAACTACCAAGTTTAACTTTACCAAGCTTAAGAGAACCACCAATGACTGGAAACATAAATACCTTTTGCCTCTCAAAGTCATTAAATTTTACCCCTCATATAGAAAATTTAAAACAATCAATAGTGCTCAAGTCAATTTTAAGTAAAAATCTGCAAGATCTTTCAGATAAGTTATTTTCTAAACCAGAAGTTTGTCTGAACACTGAAGCAATGAAGAAAAGTAGTTCCTCACATCTATGCATTCAGGACAAACCAGTCAGTGATTTGGAAATAAAAGCATTGGAACCAATTCAAGATTTAAACTGCCAGCTTTCAGAAAAAGACATTTCAAAGTCAAAGTCTCTTTTAAATCAAGTAATTAAAAACATCACCTCAGATTTACTTTCAGAAGGTAAACCAGGAAAATCTCCAGATGTAGAAGATGTTGTCTCGGAGGCTGATGGAATAGATTTTTCAATGAAAAAAAAGAGTTGTTTCAAAAAGAAACATATAACAAGTGAAGTGTCTAGCCCTATGCTGGGTTTCAGTGGAAGTATACACGACTATATTATAAAGCAAATATTCACTGCACCTATCTTTTCACTGTTGGAAAAAAGCATGAAAGAACTGAGTGAGACACAGATGAACCTGCAGGATCAGTTATTCAAATCTTGGGAGACAAAATTGTCTTCCAATATTCTAGTTAACTATGGAGATAAGGATGATGAAATAAAATTGCCACAGCCCAAATCTGTGATAAGCGAGATAATACAAGCATTTCCTATAGATACACTTTTAGAATCTGGGATAATCAAAGTGATGGAACTAGATAAAGAACAACAGATGGGTGCTTTGGTAGATACAGAGAAATCCTCTTCTGAAGAAACCCTCAGGGATACCACAGAAGATGATTCAGAAATCAAATGCAAAACACAATTTCTTTCAAGACCCAGTGTTCCCAAAGAAGGCACTTCTTCTATACGTAGAGTTGAATTTGTAGAAGACAGACAAAACATGTTTCTACATGATTCAGAATATCATTCAACACCAGACATAAAAACAGATTTGTCACGTCAGAGGCTTGATGGAGAAGAAAGTGACCTAATGTTTGATTTAGAAAGTTTCAGTAACTTGCTAACAGATAACCTTCATGAGTCTGATCCACCAATGTTACAATCCTTTTTAAAAAACGTATTTAATGCTTTTTTCAAATATAATCAGCCTGAAAGAAGACAACAACCAGAAAAGGAATTAGAAAATCTAATTCAACATTCTTTTCCAACTTACATAGAACACGCTGAAGAAATTCAAGGGGATTCAGATAAAGCAGACAGATTAGACAGAAAAGCTGTTTTGAGTCCAAAGCTACGTGTGTTTCTAGAAGAACTCTCAGAGTCAGAAATTAAAAATTTAAAATCTGAATTGAGTAAACATATACAGCATTATCTTGTAGAAAGACTTTCAGAATCGGGACATATCACCAAGGAGGATTTACCAAAAATCTACCAAAATCTCTATCTGATGAATGAGAAAGAACTGAAAGAACAAAATGCTTTTCCAGGGAAATATTCAGAAACTGTTAAAGAAATCATGTCTTTTGTAAATAAATTTAATCATCAATTCATAGATAAACATTTAGAAATAAAGCTAAGATCTTTTTTAAATGAAATTCTCCAAAACTATTTCCTTACAAACTTTGCAGAGAGCAGTTTATTTAATGAGACAGAATCCATGACTATTCACTCAAACATGACTTCTCTAAGAACCCAAAGTGCCTCATTATCTCCTCATGATATTTCAAGGGGGAGTTTTGGTAGAAGGCTTGAAATAAACATGAAATATCCTTTAAATCAACCTCTACAAAGCCTACTTAAAGCTTTATCAGAAAATGACTTCTTAAATTTAAAAGATGATTTAAGCAAACAGCTCCAGAGACTTTTTATAGAAAAGCTTTCAAAATTAGGACTAATGACAGAGAGGCAATTAGAGGGGGTCAACGAGCATGTAAGCTTAAGTGATTCTGATTCAATACCATTAAAATATATAAAAACAGATTTACCTTTCCGAGATGAAAATTACTTTGTGGGGGAGCATTCAGAAAAGCAAAGTAAATATTCAAAACTTGGTCAAAACACTTTACCAAAGGTTTCTGAGGATAAACGTATCAGGCCAGAATTGGTCAGAACTGAAGAAAAGGACTATTCTTCTTTGAAAAATTTAAAAGAGAATCCATCAACAATTAGGGAACAGAAAAATTATTTCCCTGGAGAAGGAATTAAAGCAATAAGTTTAATAAAAGTACAGCCTTCCAACAAAAATATCCAGGCTGTTCCATTAAATAAGTCATCAGACAGAGCTACAGATATATTGTTTAAGAAATACAAGAAAGAACATGATTTCCTGCAATTTCCTCGAGCAGAAAATTGTATTTATACAACAGAGATTCAAGACCCATACAGTTGGGAGGGTAAATCAAAAATAGTTTCATCAAAAGTTTGCTGTGAAAGGACATTGAAATTGAAGCCCTTTGATAGAAAGGAGAACATTAACATTTGCAAATTTACTGCTCAGGAAAAAACAGAAACAGTATTGCCATCGTATTCAAAAATTCCTAGTTGCAAAATGCCAAGGGAAGAGGAAGAATATTTAAATAGATTCGCCTCCCCTTTCTGGCAGAATAACTCTTTATCTCACTTCAATTTAGAGGCTGAAGAACAATCGAAGTTAGACCTGTACTGTCAGAGATTGAAAGGAAACAATAACAACAATAAAAAACATTTAGTAACAGTCACACAAAATGAAAGAGAAATTCAAAATCTTTCTATAAGCCCAAATGAAATTTGCAATGAAAAATATTCCAAGGTCCCCAAACCACAATCCTTTAAATATAAAGAAAATAAGAAAAATTCAAAACCATCCTTTTTCCCAGAAGTATTAAAGAGAGAAAACATAAAACCCAAGGTTCGAAAAGAAAAAGATCATGCCACCAAACCAAAAAAGTCACTTAACAAGGTAGTTAGGATCCTACCAACCACGCTGCCTACTACAAGAAGTCATTTAAGGAAATCTGCACCAAGGACTTTGCTTCACTGGACTGCACGGAAGACTATACACGTAATAATGTTTTCCCTGTCTTCTACTTCTCTTATTTGTCAAAGTTCTATCAATAACTTCCCTTAAGCCTGAATGCAAGTGTGGGTATAAATTTAATTGCCCCAGGAGATACAGACCTCCAAGCTTAAAAATTCTTCTGGAATTCAAATTATCACCTTGCCTCATTGATAGTCTAACCACAAAATCAGGGGGGGACTATTAATATGTCTAATACCTTTTTATAACTAGATAAAGGGCAGCCTCTCTGGGACAGGATTTAGAAAAAGATGTCCTTTCTTCTGGGCGGACCCTCCATCTGGCATAGCCTAGAACCTCTAGGAACCTGCTGCATATTTGCATGGATCAAAATTAGCCAGGGACCTTTGTGCAACAGCCTGCACAACCTTTAGTAGTGGTGGAATACTGTAGAAACATAATTCAGATTTTCTTTTCTGAGAGATTTAACTATAAATGTTTAAGACTTTTTTCAGATAGCTGAATTTATCTGTAAATAAATGTGATACTCCTATGTGCTAGTTATTCTGCTAAGAACTAGGGATATGCAGAATTTACAATCTGTGGATAATGAATTGAAAATTTTTAACTTCTTTTTTCTTCTTTTACCACCACTCCTCTGCTATATCATATGCTGAGATCTTGAGAATTCAAGTCTATTCTTAGCATTAACATAAAATAATTAGGAAGGTGAATCTGTTACTAGACTGTACAAATGGTTCTAAAGCACTTAAAATTTAGGAATAGAAGGTACTTATTTTAATTTTCGGAACCAATACTTGTCTCAGTATGTATTACAGGCATAACTCATAAATTTAAAAACTCATAAGATCAACAGTTGATCTCAAATTGATATTTTGATGTGCAAGATCCTGCCTCTGAATGAGAAAGTAAATATAATTTCAAAATATTTGCTTTGAATCTGTTTTCCACAGTAAATAAAGCAGGTTGTTAGCTTTACAGTGGCGGGGCAAAAATTATATACCTATATATTATATACTATATATTATATAGCTAAATATTCTATTAGCTATATAGTGGCAGGGTAAATATTCTTATCACTTGTACTCTTAAGTTTGGATTTTTTTCTTTTCTATCTAAATTCAATCATTTAATATTGAACAAGCAAATGTTGGGGTGAGTGTTGGGGGGTGTGCATATGAAGAAAAGGAAGTTGAAGATAGGCTCATAGTTTTTGGCGAAAAAAAAAATTTCTGAAGTTCCTTTAGACAAATGGAATCTTTAATACAACTTCTTCAAATGAAAAAAAAAAACTGCATTTATGTCAAACACTGTAAGGTCATCTTACAACCCTTTACTTAACAGCGGACTAGGGAGTTAGGATTCTCATTCTTGTTATTTCCCTCTGTTAAGCCAAGTGTTTCTTAACTTTAGAATTGAGTGATAAGAGGCAGTTGTCAGATGATCAGAAAGGTACTCATTTTATTTTCTAAACCCTAGGAATCTTCAAAAGCCTCTAATCAGAAGCAAGATAAGTTGAGCCATAGGAGCTCTCAGAAAAGGAAGCAGTGGTGTGGGTCTCCAAGGCCTTCCACTGATCCTTATAGTTAGTGATCAGCTGTGGAGCCAGTTAAGCACTACTCACTAACATAGCAGAAACTCTTAAAATTTGAGCTTGCCTTATTATTCCAGGAAGGTAAGAGGAAGGAGGAAGTTCTCCCTGCCTTCTCCAAACCCAGGCACAGAGGTAAAGTAGATGGAATTGGCCTTCCTCTTCATACCTTCTTTTTTCTAGATCTTTTTCTGGCTGTCTTAATTCTTAACAGTTCCTCCCAACCTTCCTGACCGCTCAATTTTATCAGTGCACTCTCCCCATGTCTCCAATCAAAGCAGTCCATTTCTTTGCTGTGGCTCTCTCTGCGAGGTGTCGAGGAATGGACTGCTCAAACTGCTGAGAGAACTAGTTTATACTAAAACTACCCAAAGAGGTACTTATAGATTATTATGTTTTTAACTATAAAATATTTGTTATAGAAAATTTGAAAAAAGAGAATTAACATTTTTCTCTTCTTATTTCAGTGTATATCCTTCCAGTTACTTTCTCGAATGTTATACTTGTTTTATTCTCAGAATGTAAATTGTAATTTTTATTTGAAATTTTTTATTTTAATGTAAACATTACAACCACATTCTTGCATGCTATCTGTGCTCTCTTTCTCTAAATACACACACACACACACACACACACACACACACACACACACACGTATAAAGGCTGAAGATTTATTAAAGTAACCTTTAGAGAATGAAAGGTCAAAGTTTGGATGATGTAAAAAGCTAAATATAAAAGTTAATCATTTATATTTGGGGTTAGGGCAACAGAAGTTTTGTTGGAAAAAGAATTGCAACGTAGCTGGCCAACTTTGCCTAAGAATCTGACCCCTGAGTATAGCTCCCTTAGGCTTTTCTAGTTTCCAGATTCATCTCTTCCATCCCTTTTGAAATACAATATTTTTTGGAACAGTAAGACTTTTAAAAAGCCTGGTTTCTAAGGTAGTATCTAAGGGAAATCATTGAGTGTAGAGTCTGAATCTGGGGATGGCCCAGGAAGCATTCGGTGCTTTCATTCTCTTTGTCAATATTACAAACTTTAGTCCTTGTAAATTTCAAGTGTACTTTTTAACTTACCAATTTGATGTTTTATTTTAAAATTTAGGATTGTTCAGATAGATTTGAGGATCTACAAGAGCCCTCAATGCAGCATCTTAATAAAACAAAATCAAGAGTAAGACTTTTAGCAAAGAGCCCAGATGATAGCCATATTCAGGCAAAACAAGCTGCAAGACCTTGTACTGCTCCAGAGCCTAACAAACGACGAGAATACTACACTGGAAAATTCACAAGTCCTCGAGTGGTTTCATCAGGATTAGCTAATACAAATGATACAACCCCAGATTATGAAATACATAAAATGCGATCAAAAAAAAGATTAAAAGAGGATATTGAAAAATGTTCGCTCATTTGTGATATTATCCAAATGTTAAAAAGTTCAGAATGATATGTGAGGCCAACAGTCAGAATTATCACTTCTCCATTAACAAAATGGTTTGGAACTCTGTTCTTGTGTGTGATAGAAGTTAGCAACCAAATTCCATCTTGTTAGAACCATTTTGTTACAATTAAAATGAAAAATAAACACATTTGATGTAAACGTGTTTTTGTTTATAAGCCTTAGGGAACCAACCCAGAAGTATATATCTAGTTGATATTCACTAGAAAACTTGTTTCCCAGCTTTCCCCCTTTTTCACAAATATAAAAATATCACTCCATATTTCTTTGACTTCTCCCAACCTTTGTGACACTCTAAATTATCGATGTCCACCCAGTTTTCAGATTCTCTTTTTGTAGTGATCTATGTTTAGTCTTTTTTGTTATGAACAAATTTTACACATCAGCTCTAGTTATATTCCCTAGACGAAGCAGTTCTCCGAGTCTGTAGAACTTCTGCTAATTTAACATCATCTAATAATTGCTTCCCCCCACTTCCAGTGCTGGGGATCAAACCCAAGGCCTTGTGCTCTACCACTGAACTACACCCCCAGCCTTGGTAATATATCTTTTTACACTATAAATAAGGATAATAAAAGCTTTTAATGCTAATTCCTGAGGCATCTCCACCTAGAGTGACTTTAACTTTCTAAATTGAAAACTCTAAAATCAAAGGATTTAAATCAGAGATGTCTGAGAATTGGTTCTATTTCTATAAAGTATAGTCTTTACTGAACTTTACTTTTGAAAAAAACAAAAATGTCAATTTACAGAATTTTTGTCAGTTTTAATCTTTTTACAAGAATTTATAAAAACCTGAAGGTTTAAATAGGATTGCCTAGTGGAAAACATAATTCCTGGTCATTCATTCCATGTTATTAACAGGGCGGTAATTTTTTTTTTAATGGAAACCAAGAATTTCCTGCAATCCTCAAAGTTGTCAGTACAGATAATTTGACTTAGGATTTTTTACCTTTATGATAGTGTGAAACTGATATACATTCAATAGAAACCATACTTTGAATTTGGAATTTTGATGTTTTCCTGGGTTAGTGGTACACACACCGTCCTCACATGCTGGTAGGCAGAAGCAGTGAGCCATCACTCCTAGTCAGCTACACAGTCATCAGAGGAAGCTATGAACTCTGTACCGTGGTGTTCGGCTAAGCCCTGAGGTTTTGTAGGTTAGATGTCTTAAATGTGTTTTCCACTTGGAGTTATTTTCAATTTACAATGGATTTATTAGGACAAAACCCTTTAAGACAAGGAGCCATTATACTTGTACCAGTTAGCGTGGAACTGGGAAAACACAACTCCAGAACTTTCGGGTAGAAGGAATACAGGAAATTGGTTTTATGAACAATGGAACTAAGGCTAAGAAAACAAAAGCGTTAGTGAGGGAACCCAGAGATAGCAAGAACTGAAAGTGCTCCCACCTCTGAGCTGAAGGGGAAGCAGGAGAAGGTGAAGTTATCAGAGTCTTAAAGCTGGAAGACAAGATACAGCCATTGCCAGGAAATAGGAATGGGGCACAGGGTGAGAAATACCATGTTTCTTCCCTGGACACCGGAGAAGGAGGGTGCATGGGAAACATAGTTCCTGGTTCAGCAGAGCAAGAAAGAGTGAAGAAATGGATTTGAGAGCTAATAGGCAGTTGATCGATGGTGCTTAAGAGGAAAATCTCTGATCTGGCTTGAAGTAAAGGAGAAATTACTTACTAGATGGAAATCTCAAGTTCCTTTAGCTCATTACAATTTTAATGACAATATTGTGACCCACAAAGAATTAAAAATTTCTTACCATAGAAATCTCTAAAATTGTCAAGTCCTTTTTAAAATTCATACACTTTATTCAAGAAAGAATTTGTTAAATATTTATTAAACATCTATAATACATCAGACATTTTTGCTAAATACTAGGAGTATCCTACTATTTAGAATAAGACTATAGTCTTGAAGAGTCCACAGACTGACTAGTCAGAGACATAAACACAGAAGTCATTAAAATAGATTTGTGTTAAGGAAAGCTCTATAGAAGCTTACAGGTGTTTTAACTCAGACGACTATGCTAGCTTGGGTCCTTCAAAAAGCAGGCATCAAGATAAAGTTAGACATTATGCTACAGTCAAACTAATGGCCCCCAAACCTGTCCGTATCCTAATTCCAGAGGGGATTTTGCAACTATAATTAAGGGTCCTGAGGTGGGAAAATTCTCCTGGATTACTTGGCATAAGGGTCAATCAGAGGTGATGTGGCCACAGAAGTAGAAGTTGAAGTCATGCTGTGTCATGAGGCAAAGGAAATCAGGAAGCCTCTAGTCGATGAAAGGTAAGAGATTCTCCTTTAGAGGCTCCAGAAAGAATAGCCCTGTCAACCCAATTTAAACTTAAGGCCTCCAGAACTTTAAGATAACAAATTGTGTTAAGCAATTAAATCTGTGGTAATTTGTCAGAGCAGCAGTAAGAGACATGAAAAGATTTTTTTGGAGGAGAGTGGGGAACCTTTGAGGAAAAATGAGGAGACTGGGAGATCTGTCAGTCATGGAGTAGGTCTGACCACTGTGAAAGAGGGAAGAACATAGGGTAGACCAGGAAATGTCAGAATGCAGTGTCACTATGTTAATATCAGCACAGCTGACGGAGAGTCGCCTAGCCAAAGGCACTCATCACAAAATGCTTTTGTCTGCTAGGAAAGTTGGTTTAGTCAGCCTTTTCACTGCTGTGACTAAAAGACCAACCAGAATACCTGTAGAGGAGGAAAAGTTTATCTGGGGGCTTATGGTTTCAGAGGTCTCAATTTATAGACAGCAGACTCCTTTCCTTGGGGCTCCAGGTGAGGCAGGATATCATGGCAGAGGGAAGCGACTCAAGTCATGATCAGGAAGCAGAGAGAGAGACCTATACTTGCCAGATACAAATATATACCTGAAAGCCATGCCCCGAATGCTTCCCCTCCTCCAGCCACACCCCATTTGCCTTCAGCTACCACTCAACTAATCCCATCTGGAGACTAATTTGATGACTGGTTAAGGACCTCATATTTCTTGTCTGAATCTTCTTTCATTGTCTCACATGTGAGCTTTTGGTGAATACCTTACATCCAAACCATAACAGAAAGGTCTGACTTACTATCCTGGCTTCCAGGAGTAAGGACTGGAGTGAGGAAAGTATAGTAGGAAGAATTATATCATCCCAAAGATGACAACACTGTAAACACCAGAACCTATGAATATGTGAGGTTGTACAACTAAGGGGAATCAAAGTTGCTTATCTCTTGACTATGTGGCAGGGAAATTACCTTGTATTATTTGGCTATGACCAGTATAAATCACTAGGGTGTTTAAAAAGAAAAAATGTCTGGGCATGGTGATGTATTCCTATAATCCCAGCAACTCCGGAGGCTAAGGCAGGAGGATCAAAAGTTCAAATGAAGACAGTCTCAGCAACCTAGTGAGGCCCTAAGCAACTTAATGAAACCCTGTCTCAAAATAAAAAATAAAAGGGTTCAGGATGCGGCTCAGTGGTTAAGTAACCCTGGGTTAAATACCTGGTACAAAAAAAAAAAAAAAAAAATTGAATGGGAAGAAAGCTAGCGAAATGACAGTATGAAGACTCTTCTCAATGGGGATGACGGGCGGGGGCGGGAAGGTACACTCATACATGGCTGGTGGGACTGCAAATTGGTGCAACCAATATGGAAAGCAGTATGGAGATTTCTTGGAGAACTGGGAATGGAAACACCATTTGATCCAGCTATCATGCCTTGGTCTATACCCAAAGGACTTAAAAACACCATACTACAGGGACACAACCACATCAAAGTTTATAACAGCACAATTCACAATAGCTAAACTGTGGGATCAATCTAGATGCCCTTCAGTAGATGGATGGATTAAAAAATGTGGCATGTATACACAATGGAATATTACTCAGCATTAAAAGAGAATAAAACCATGGCATTTGCAGGTAAATGGATGGAGTTGGAGAAGATAATGCTAAGTGAAGTTTGCCAATCCCCCAAAACAAATGCCGAATGTTTTCTCTTAAAAAGGCTGACTCATAGTGGGGTAGAGAGGGGGAGCATGGGAGGAACAGATGAACTCTAGATAGGGCAGAGGGGTGGGAGGGGAAAGGAGGGGTCAGGGGGTTAGCAATGATGGTGGAATGTGATGGACTTCATTATCCAAAGTACATGTATGAAGACAGACATGAATTGGTGAACATACTTTATATACAACCAGAGGTATGAAAAATTGTGCTCTATATATGTAATTTATGGGGAAAAAAAGACTCTTCCCAACATTGCTGACTTTGAAGTTGGACAATAAGCTGAGGTGGGCTATAAGCTGAGGAACATGGATAACTCTAAATGCAGAAGACAGCAGGGTAAAATGGATTCTCCTACAGAGCCTCCAGAAAGAATGCAATCTGCCCACACCTCAGATTTACCTGAGACCCAAATTATAGAACTACAAAACAATAAGTTGGTATTGTTTTAAGCCACTAAATTTGTGATTTGGTATAGCAGCCATAGAAAACTAATACAGCAAGTGAGGTGACTATGATAGAAAATTCAAGGTACTCATGCAAAAGATGAAGCTGTCAATTATAATACCCAATGTCATGGTTAACTTTATGGCTCAATAGTACTAGACCACAGGATACACAGATATGTGAAATATTATTCTGGGTTTTCTGTAAGGGTGTTTCTGGAAGAAATCAATATTTCAGTTGGTGAGCTAGTAAAACAGATTGTCATCCCTAATGTGGGTGAGCCTTACACAATCAGTTAAAGACTTGACTAGGTAAAAAAGGCTGAACCTTCACCAAGTAAGAAGTTCCCCTTACCCAACTGCCTTTAACTGGGACACTGGGTTTTCCCTGTCTGGCCTCAAACTGAAACATTCACAATTCCTAGGGCTTAAGCCTGACAACCTTTGGACTTGAACTCTACTACGGGCTCACAAAGCATATCAGGAACCTGTCAGCTTCTGCAATTGCATGAGTTGATTCTTCAAAATAAATGTGTGCATATATACATATATTTGTATACAAGTTAATAAAAAACTTGAAACACAATCCTTTTTATATTATTGCCTAGATCTTTTTTAAGAAGGAAGGTTGGGATTACTCTTAATGCAGCTACTAAGACCTTCCAAGGAGA